ACCTTAATTTTCTCTTGTAGCACTTCTGTCTTTGAGTTCAGCAGTCCCTGCTGCAGCACTCGACCTGCCCATGCCGGATCTCCATGCCATGGCAATTGCAATTTTGGATGGCACAGCTTGCATTGCCATTCTCAAGGCTCATGTGGCAGAGCAGGATGGTAAGATTAACACCTTGCAACACCTCCATGAAGGCCTTAGGCACAAAATCATCGACCAGCACCCTGCATTCCCAATTCCTGAACCTCTGGCCAATGCAATATCCTTGTTGCTTGATCAATCTGTCCCCCCATCCATGTCACCATCTGCATCTGCACTTCCTCCTCTCATTGATCTCTCGATTGGAGAGATAATGCCCACACCCCCAAAATTCAAGGATGCCTCTGCCATTGAGGGCCTCCTGTTTGAGTACAACTGGGTTGTTCAACCAGAGGTTCCAGATACATCTGGTGAAATTGTGGACCTGGGTGATCCAGGTAACCTGGTCCCAGAATATGATTCTTCTGATGACATGGATGTTGAGGTGAAGGTTGAAGTGTCTTCTGAGGAGGTTGACATGGCTACATAATTGCATAGTGATAGATTTATCTACAAGTTTTCCAATGAATGTTACCTCTGCCAGTCCATTTATTCAATCACTGAGTGTCAAGTATCAAGTACCAAAACCTGAAAGTTAGAAACAAACATCAAAACTTGAAACCTGACAGTTGTAACAATGTATGAGTTTCGAGTCTCAATTTTCAAACTCAAAACTCAGATATTTTTATGACTTTCAAGTTTTGGGTGTTGGGTTTTGGGTTTTGGGACTCAGTGATTTGAGACTCAAAACTCAAAACTCAGATATTGGTACAACTTTCAAGTTTTGGGTGTTGGGTTTTGGGTTTTGGGACTCAGTGATTTGAGTCTCAAAACTCAAAACTCAGATATTGGTATGACTTTCAAGTTTTGGGTGTTGGGTTTCAGGTTTCAGGACTCAGGACTTGGTGATTCAAGTCTCGAAACTCATACATTTTTATGACTTGCGAGTATTGAATCACTGAGTCTCAAAATCTGAGTACTGTTAAGGTCAGACTCAAGGCTAAATGGATCCTAAGGGCTTTGGCCTCAGCTCGTGCGCTGTGCCCCTTACTCGAGTATTGCCCCTTATTTCAGGAAGACAAGACTAATGCGTCCAGAGGGTGTCAGATGAGTAGCATAGCAGATCTGGATGACTTCTGGATGCAGGATAAGTGTTGTAAGGCTAATCCAGACAAGTCCAGACTAGAAACTAATGGTAGTGGACTGTCATAGACAGAGGCAGATATGGATAGACTATAGGAATCAATCCCAAGTCTCAGAGGGTGACGAGAGTAGAGATACTCAGGTCTGGAGGACAGGAATGAGCAGAACTAAGTTGATATTCAAACTGAGGTGTTACAGAGATTTACAGGAGGTTATATACTATAGGTATCTAATGGAATGATCAATCAGCAGGGTCCAAGGTTATGTACAAAGCATATGGATAGTCTATTGGTAAGTAGAAATGGATCACAAATAATGAAACAGAAATGAAGCATAGGTAATAGATCAGTGAGCAGGATGGATATACAGATAACTGAAATATCGGAGTCAGGGGATTACTGAAAGGAGATGAGCACTGGTTGTGAGTTCAGATGAATTGTGGACCAGACTGGACAAGTGGGCAGATTGGATGATGAGATATTGGAGGGGGATAAGATGTGGATAGGATCAGAGATAAGATGTGGATCAGATCTGAGATGAGATATGGATTGGATCTGAGATCCGGATATGTGGATATGACAAGTACTGACACAACTTCAGGTGTCAGCATTTGGTATTTGGTACTCAGTGATTCAAGACTGGAAACTCAACACTCAAAACTCAAAACTTGACAGTCATAAAAATGTTTGAGTTTTGAGTTTTGAGTTTTGATGTTGGAGTTTTGAAGTTTCATGTTTTGGGTTTCAATATCTGGGGTTCAATGTTTGGGTTTTGGGACTCAGTGATTCAATACTCAAAAGTCGTAAAAATGTATGAGTTTTGAGTTTCGAGACTTGATGTTGGAGTTTCAAAGTTTCAGGTTTTGGGTTTTGATGTTCAGGGTTTGATGTTTGGGTTTTGGGATCCAGTACTCACTGTGTTGACTTTGATCGATGTTGACAGAATCTGAGTCTGAATGTCATTAATGACTTGGATCAAACTAGTGCAACAGCATTGCTCATATGTCCATATAGTATACCAATACCTCAGCCCATATGTCTAAATGATATGTATCTGGGCCCACCCATTTATATGACATCCCCCTCCATTGGCCCACCTGTCTATGTAATATACCCTATGCCAGCCCACCCATATATATAATACATATTTCACTGCCCCATTGGCCCACCCATCTATCTAATATACCCCCACCTCAGCCCACCCATCTATATAATAATATCTGCCATACATCTCTCTTCAGCCCAGCTGTCTATAATATATGTCTATCCTACTCTACATATTGCCCAGATGGGCCCACCCATCTCCATCGGTAATAATATTTCTTCCAGCCCATTTGCTATTATCAAGGATATTTATAACATTGGCATAGATGGGCCCACCCATCCCCATCAGAAATAATATCCCTCCCAGCCCACCTGTCAACATCAAGGATATACATAACATTGGCCCATAGTCCACTGGCCCATCTTATATGGGATATTATGTAGGTCAGGTGACCCATCTAATATGGAGTTTGTCACTGAAGGGGCTCCATTGCTGTTATATAGGGTGAGATGATTATCTGCACTTGCACCAAAGTGAGGGACAATATTAATGGGTGCCCTAAGCTGAGTAACTGGAATGATATCACCAATCCAAGTCCCATTTGACTGTTTCACCCTCTTGAGCAAATATAACTGCGTGTTTGGTTCACAATTGCCAATGTCAAATTGTTCCACATAAGTGAGAAAGCAATCTTTCCATAACCATTCTGTGCCCCTCTTTCCAATTGGACAGATAATAAGCTTGATTTGAGCAATACTATGACCTAGATATTCAATGAGATAGTTTGCAACATAACAGAAGAACATAACAACTCACCACAAAGACCATCAGTGGGCCACAAGTACCCTCCCTTGTGATTGACAATGACTGTATCATACTGGCCAGAGGTCCAGAGGTCACAAGGTGGTGCACAGTTCAGGGTCTGTGTAGGCTACACAGTACTAGCATCATGAATGTCCATGTCCTGAAGCTGAACTTTGAACCAAATTTGTAGTTTATCAAAAGGAAGTAGGGCATTGTGTCCAGCTCTCCTAGCCCCACCAATTGTGTAGATGTGATTATTTCCATAGGTATCTTCACGATGAAGGAAGTCAGCAAGAGCTGGCCATAAGTCAGGAAGGTTAAATTTGAGGGCAGTGTCATTGACGGAGAGGGTTCTAATTGACAGATCATAGGCAAGATAAACTGCTATATGCTGTCCAACAATGAAAGTGCCCAGGGATTGTCCCTACCTCCTTGTGCAGAAGGGTCTGTGCAATTGCAAAGTAATCAGTAATTGGTCATGAATAACCAGGGCTACTGGTTGTTGCCAGGAGGTCCACAGGGTGATCGTGATCATTGTGAACATCAAGATCTATATTGTCATCATATTCATCTAGGTACATGTATTGGTTCAGCAAGTCCAGTAGACTCATGGCAAGTTCAAAGTGACAGCACTTGTCAGCATGGTCAAGATGGCAACAAATTTGTGCATCATAATTGTTGTTGTTGCTGGATTGTGTGGGGTCTTTGATGTCAGTGACATGCACATGCTCCATAGTGTCTGCAGTTCACTGCATGGCAACACCAGTATTGCAAATACTGGGAATGATACTCTGTGTGAGCTCTATTTTTGGGATGTACCAATTATCAATGACTTTGTCACCCTTGCCTTGATGGAACCCAGCATCTATGATTGCCTGCTTGTTAGTGTGGAATTCAGCCAGTGCTGTTGAAATGCACTCAATTTCACAATCATCAATCTGTGTCAACTGTACAAGATAACAGAAATCCATCAATACTTGTACAGCAGTGATCACAGCATTAGGTACTGCATCTGCAGCAACTGCAATGATCAAGCATTGGATGTCACATTGTGCATGCCCTGTAACCTGCTTCAGCTTTGAGATCCTGCTATGGAAATGGTGAAAGCCCATCACAGGCTACAACATAGAGAAATGGAAATCAATTTCCACTTCCCCAACAGCACAGATGATCCATTTCGTATCATGGTCAAAGGACTCTCAGTGACAATGGTGAAGAAATTCCAGAGTGAGGAAATATGATGGTTCAGCCATGATCCAATCTAACCAGAAAGGCTTATCAACTCCATTCAAGCAAAATTTCTGCACTTCACAAAAGAACACTTCAATATTGCGGGGGTCAACCTTTTCCTGGATAATGGCTAGTTGTGTGAGGGTAGTTGATCTAGTTCAAGGTTCATGGAGGAAAGGATCTCCAAATTGTTTGCATGAGGCCATGGTAACAGAAGACATTTTCCCGCCAACAGTGGCAAGCATCATGATCTCCAGGGTATTAATGATATAGCTTGTGAGTGGGGTAAAACAATAATGACTATGCCTAACCTGATCTGATAACATGACCCTCTCACAAGTGGCCTGCTTAAGTGGTGCAAGAACAATATCCAAGCATTGATGAATCAGACAATCCTCCAACACACCTCACAAGTGTTTCTTCTTATGAGTGAATTTGGGCACAGGGAGTAGGGCAGTGAGCAAGAAAGCACTGGATGACACCTTGAGTCAAGTAGACATGTGCATGTTCATGAGACTGATGAGGAGTGGGTGGGCAACTCTGTCACCTGTTATCATGGATATATTGGTCTTGTCTGACAACAAAATAGTCCCTAGTAGGGTTGCACCACTTGGTAGATTTGACTGTTGGAATTAATAAGTACTTAGAATGGCTTGAACAACAAGACCATGCACCTGCATCTTCCAGACATCATCACCTGTCATTCACTCAGAGTACACATGACACAGCCACTGCACAGTGGTATACACTCTGCGAGGTGCAAAGTCTAACTCTTTGTGAAGCATAGGATGGTTTAGTATGCTCAAGATACAGTCCAAGGGGTCATGCCAGTATAAGGGGTCATGCCAGTATAATATGATGGGCAATTCTGTGAGATGGCTGGTAGGAATTACTTGCAACATCCAGTGTGGACTGCTGGGAAACATTTCAGCCCTACCTTGTAGCTCTTTAGCAGAAGAGAATAATAATGAAAGATCCTTAATATAAATGGGAACCCTGTCAGACTTTGCCAATGAAAATGATTGTGCACTGACCATCTCAAGTGACAAAAAACTATTAATCTTTCCCATGCTCAATCCAGAACACAATAGCCATGATGCAACTTTCCACTCCTTCCAACCACTAAATGGGTAGTAAGGATTCTTCATATGATATATGCTATTCTCATCAGAGTGAAATAAATCAAGAAATGTATGACCCTTGTCATATGTCTGAGAGGCATCAGGAATAGTGTGTCTTCCTTATCAATGTGACTGGTAAAAACACCTTCATCTGAGTTGATAACTCTGAAGTCCTTAGGTTCATAGTCTTGATGCAAGTCATGTGGCATGTGTGAGTTGTCAACAGTCATAGAGTAGTTGGTCTGGAGCTGTATCACATCCTGTAGCCATCTGCTACATCCCAAGCGAGTTTGGTTCATGTGATAGGCAACAGCAACATTGTCTTTGAATCCTCCTTTGCCACACAAAGGACACTGAAACATAGTATAGTATAGGGACATTTATAAGTATGAGAAATCTTCGAGGCAATATATACTTAGTACATTCTGAGAAGTCAGCATGGATTTCACTGAATGCTATACAGTTGTGGCGATGTTCAATCAACAAGCTGGAAGCCCTAAGGAACATATAGTCACAAATGTTGAACCCATCTGTTACTAGTCTTAATCTTACTAACAATATCCCTTCTACCTCAAATAAGACATTCTCTTGCTACTGGCCTCATACTTTGTACCAAACCTTAAATTCAGGTGGTTGCAGTCTCCCAGACCTGTACAATGTTGCTGATGGTATTGTATCAATATTAAGTGCCTCCATTTCAAATTTATGTTAACATCATATGTTGTGCTTATCCAGACAATTGATAATGCTGACAAACTTGAAGCCAACCTAGTTATGGAACTCACAAGGGCCAGATGAGATGTCTTCAGGGCTGAAAAATTGCTTACTGATTACATGGTCCATGAGTGTGAACTGATGACCAATCTATTGAAATTCAAGTTGAACATTTCCAAGCAGAAACTCAACAAGGTAGATATTAGATTAGTGTTAAGGTCATACTCAAGACTAAACAGATCCTAAGGGCTTCAGCCTCAGCTCATGTGCTGTGCCCCTTACCCAAGTATTGCCCCTTATTTCAGGAGGACAAGACTAGCACATCCAGAGGGTAGGATGAGTAGCATAGCAGATCCAGATGACTTCCAGATGTAGGATAAGTATCATAAGGCTAACCCAGATGAGTCCAGACTAGAAGCTAATGGTATGGACTGACATAGACAGAGGCAGATATGGATAGACTATAGGAATCAATCCTAAGTCTCAGAGAATGACAAGAGTAGAGATACTCAAGTCTGGAGGACAGGAATGAGCAGAACTAAGATGATATTCAAACTGAGGTATTACAGAGATTTATAGGAGGTTATATACTATAGGTATCTAATGGGATGATCAATCAGCAGGGTCTGAGGCTATATACAAAACATATGGATAGTCTATTTGTAAGTAGAAATGGATCACAAATAATGAAACGGAAATGAAGCATAGGTAATGGATCAGTGAGCAGGACAGATATATAGATAGCCAAAGTACTAGAGTCAGGGGATTACCGAAAGGAGAAGAGCGCTGGTTGTGGATTTGGATGAATTGTGGACTGGACCAGATGAGTGGGCAGATTGGATGATGAGATGTTGGAGGGGGATAAGATGTGGATCGGATCTGAGATCCAGATATGTGGATATGACAATTAGGATATATGCAAATCACCTTCAATAAACATGGTCTTTCTCATCATGCACCTGCACACAATGCCAGTAAGTCTGCCAACAGTGTAGGGACATCAATGTGCTACTATGTGATACAAACTACAGATGCTTCCATCCATTTGGGGGCCAGCTGTAATATTAGTATTCAGCTCAATTGATGTAGCATAAGGCTTGGAGTTATACATGCAACTTTTGTCTTAGTAGTCTTACATACTATGTATATTCACTATACATAAATATGTTTCTCTTGTATTAGAACTTTGCAAGATTTATCCTACTAGTACTAGTAGTCAAGTGTAAAGTGTTATGTCTCTGTACTAGTATTTGAACATCCCATGGTGTGCTAACTTGAAAGCATGTGATGTCTGTTAGCTTTGGGCAAAGTGAGGGAGCTGTGTGAATAGGCCTCTGTGCACATCTGTAGGTCTGTGAACTCTGTCCACACTGTGAGGTACTGTGGGAAACTGTCCAGTAGCCCATGTCTGTGGGAAAAATTGTGGTTTACTGATGTCTACTTGTGTTTTTTCTAGTACCATACTATGGAGCCTTTATTGCCTATACATTGCTACCAAACTCATTCTCACTATGATGCACATCAGGAAAAACCTCCCCCACTAGTTAGAATCAATTAGAGCTAATTATCCTAACTTTTGTTAATTAGATGGATTAGATGGCTAGAAAATTTTAATTGGTGCCTTTCTAATTAGCACTAATTTTTGTCATCCTAGAGCAATCCTAGAACCAATTAGTGAAAGTCCTAACAGTGTTCTTACAGGTTACAATAGGTTCATTTTCATCACTCAAGCAATAAAAGACACAAATCAAGTTTATATTATCAAGCACAAACAGAGTACTTTAAATCTAAGGTAATAGTCCAAGTGTGAATGTAAGCAGTGAGCTACAAGGACAGAACATCAGGTACTTGAAGGAGCAGTCAAGGATATGGTAGGAGAGTAGGACACAAGAATAATATGGGGGAGGGAAAATAGCAGTCAGCATCTTATGACTTGTCAGGGAAACATCACCCAATAAACCAAAGACTACGTGAGTACTAGAGACACTTAATGATAAGTACAGGCAAAAAAGAAAGACAGAGGACACACCAACTAAGTCTGGACTTGAGGGAAAGTAGTGCTAAGAGTATGCTGGACATGTAAAATAACTTTAAATAAGACCTCCTGCCAATTGATTATCAATTGCTTGAACTCGACAAAAAATCAACACACTCACATCCTGCAAACAGTGAGTAACGACTTTGATCAACACAACTTGAGCTCAAAGGAGGACTGATACATTCACATACTACAAACAGTAAGCAACAGCTTTGATCAGCACAACTCAAGCTTGAAGGATGATGTGCCACATATAGAAACTCCTCTAAAAATTAGAAGGGACTAGATATTTACCATACAGAACACAGAAATTATGGAGGATGCAACATGGTTGAAGTTGAGGGTTTGAAGTAAATTGAAAACTTTTCAAACTGAAAGTCATGTGTGAAAAACAAATACACACAAATGTTGGGCTTCACATTTCAATATTCCATGTTCTATGGTGTAACATTTAACACCTGCACATTTATTATTTGTGCAGTGTGTTTCCCACTCCCAATTTTCTTAATCAAAATCCTTCCAACATGTTCAAATCTGCACATTGTCTTTGTATTGGCTGATTATTTGTGCAGCTAGCAGGCCAAGTCACTACATCATGTTCAGGGATGATATATATAAGCACAACACAGACAAGTAAGTCCAATTCCTGCCATCTTGTCATATCCTTCTCACCTCATTTTACCTGCAGGAGCTCATGTTCCATCTCTATTCCAGCTCCCATTTATTGTGAGTGATTGTTAAGAACCATGTTGCTCAAAGGAGAGAGAGACTGACTCAGAGGGGCTTGGCCTCAGCTCATATGCTGTGCCCCTTACCCAAGTATGTGCCCTTCATTTCATATGAGGTCTGATGATGGTCTGACAAAGTCCAGAGGCTGGCTACTCTGGTGGAGTGCTAGAGGACTTCTGGAAGAGCACAGGAAATGTCCAGAGGAATATGGGAGAGTTCCAGAGAAACGCAGGAAGTGCTCAGGAGAATTCCCACTGCAAGGTAATACTTCTACAGGAAACAGGATGGAAGGATGGGAGGACAGGAGGACAGGAGGACAGGAGGACAGGAGGACAGGAGGACAGGATGTCCAGAGGTACGGAGGGCAGGACATCTGAAGGACAGGACACCTGGAGGTCCAGAAGGAATAGGGGCTACATTGGACTCTGTCTGATGTAGAAACAAACAAAGGTAGACTACCCTAAGGTAGAGTCGGAGAGAACAGGGATTGGACCTAAGTCCAGAAAGAGGGTAAGTGCCGGAAAGGCAAAGCTCTGACCTAGGGAATCAATCCCTAGGCCTGATGAGTAGGACAGACTTAGGTGGACCAAAGTCCAAGAGAGGATTGGGCAAGTAGAGCAAAGTCTAAGATGAGGGAACAGGATCTAATATGACATTCAAACTGAGGAACTACAGGAGTATCTACAGGGGTTATACAGTGGCTCAAAAAACTGTCCACATGTTTTTGCATTTTTTACTATTTACAATATTGTGTGAGAATACATAAAGACCTCAGTGACATGCTGATACCATATTGTAGTGCTGCTTCAGGGCTTTGGATTGAGCACCACATCATGAGAATCAGAGGAGATATGGTGGAGATACAAGGCTTACAAAATCATGACTCATGCGGACAGTTTTTTGAGCACATATTAAAACTATATAAATCATCATTTATGACACCATAACAATCATGCCACCATTAAATAAATTATGAAGTGGTGTCATTATGTCATTTTAAAACCATATCTAACTATACAAACCAAAAATTTCCATATGTCATGGTTATATTCACCATGAAAGCCACCCCCCCTGCTCAAAGGGATAATATCCTCTCTCTTTCCTATTCTGGCCTCTCTGCTTGTCAAATTTCCTCTAGAACTGGAGTATCCAAGTCCACTGTGGCCAAGTTCATCAAAGAAAGTCACACAGACAAGGAAAACTTCTGTGAAGGGTGTCCATCCAAGCTCACCTCTACTGATAGGAGGGCTATTATTCAACATATCACTACAGGAAAGGCTGATAATGCTGTCCAGGTCACCTATTACATCAATTCCACCATCACATTCCCTGTCTCTTCACACACTGTGAGAAACATTCTCAAGACAGCTCATCTCAGGTCAGTAACAAGGAAGAAAAGGCTTTCCTCTCTATCACACATAAACAGAGATGACTAACCTTTGCCTTAGCCCATCAGAATTGGATTACATGGACTGGAAGCATGTTATATGATCATATAAGACCACAATAAATAGGATTGGGTCAGATGGCAAGGTATATATGTGAA